AAAGGTAGAGTATAAGGTATACCAGGAGAATAGTCATTTCCATCTGAGGAAGGCGAGAGGCTTCCTAGAAGAGGCGATGGCTAAGCTAAGGCTTGTTAGAGAAATACAGAAGTTTGTCAGGCATAGATAGGTGGAAAATACATTCACAGCTCTGAAATGGCAATGTGTAAAGATATGACTTAACATGTCGTAGAGAACTAGCAACAGAATATGTTAGGGTACATAAACATATAGTTTACAAAAGAGGAAACACTATTTATGTCTTTGCTCTTTTACTAATTGAACATTTTAGTGTTTGTCTTATCAATCTGCATGAGCTCCCTATATGTTAATATTTACCTAGGTGTATTTATGGCAAATAATTATTTGGTTTTGGTTGTCCTTATTTTTTACACAGTGAAATATACTTTTTTCTTTTGTCCCTTTTCTACTGCTTTTATATCTAAAATGGATTTCTCCTTTAAAAATAAACATTCATTTACATTTTTAAAAAAGGTACTTCATTCTTTTTATTCAACAAGATTTATGTTGGAAACATAAAATGAAGAATTAATGTTTAAAAAAAACCAACAGCAAAACAATCATGTTTTTTACCTAATGAGATAGACAGCTAATCCCTGAATATCCTTTTCATACTAGTTATTTCTTCTGCCTGGCACACTCTTCTCCCAAATAGTCCCATAGTTTACACCTTGTTTCCTTTTAAACCTCTATGCTATTTTACCCAGCACAGTCCAACCCCCTACCATGCTTTGTCTATATTTATCACTTTCTAACATACTACATTATTTATTCATTGTGTATAGATCTCTGTTAGAATTTAAGATCCATATGGCTAGTGATTTCTGTTCACTGCTATACGTACTCCCAGCATGTAGAGTAGGGCCTGTTACAAAAGAGGTGTTCCATAAATACAGGTTGAATGGTATCTATTACTTTTAAGTGCAATAAATTATTTTCTCTCCAAATAGTTGATATTCTGTTCTGTTTTATTCTATTTTTGTGTGGCTTGGATTTTAATATTTATGTTTTTATTAATCAGGAAGTTATGTGGTTATTTTTTTCCAAATTACTAAATATTTATTCCTCCATTACTTATTAAATAAGCATAAGCTCGCTTTTTAAGACTTAATTCCTGTGAGATTCTAATTTTCCAACTATACTGTCTTTCCTTTTCTACAAGTGATTATCTGAGAATAATTAACTATAAGAGAAATTCCAGATTTGAATAAGATTCTGCGTATCTGAACTGAAAAAAGAACTCTGATGAAATATTTTACAAATATAATTTCGGCTGCAAAGTTTCCAAGTCATTACATAAACAGTGAATAGTTATGATAGTGAATAAATACTGACTATCCATAAGCTACACCTTGTGTAGTTTGATACTAACAACCTTACAGGGTGAGATTATTACTTCCAATTGACAGATGAGAAAGCCATAGTTTAGAGATTACTGACATGCCCAATGTCCAACAACTAAAACGTGGCAGAGCCAGGATTTTCATACAAGTCTCTCCAGCTCCAAAGCCCATGCTTTTCCCACTATATCAGTGGCTTTCGATGGGGGTGATTTTGTTCCCTACCTACCAGGGAATATTTGGCAATCTCTGAGACATTTCTGATTGTCATTACTGGGTACTGGGGGGGAGGATTGCTATAAAATATCAATAGTGCCAATGTTGAGAAACCCAGCACTGTAAGTGTCTCAGAACAAACTATTCATGTGGCTTTAAAAATTTACATAAAGCAGATTAATAGTAAATCTTAATCAATCTTGATTGCGTCACTTGGCAAAATAAATAAATAAATAAATAAGTTGTAGTTTTGAAACACTGTTTTATCAATATCTGAACCTTTGAATTTAGCAGACCACACGTTACAAAGGTGATTCTCAAGCTATTAAGACTAAGCCTCACTATGCTTAAATCTATCACAATCATCTAATCTCTGATAGTCATATACAGGTCTACATCTTAATCTCCTATTTCTCTATTGAGTTCCACACACTTTTTCAATTGCTTGCTGCATCTTACACTCAATATTTCCAAAGTAAACTTATTTGTCCTCCTTCAGGTCTTCTTAGGCTGCCTTTTTCTGCTTGGGATATATTATCCTCTCAGAGGTTAGAAACCCAGCTGTCTTTGACACCTCACTCTCTCTCATCCCCACATCAATGAGTCTCCTTTATATGACTCTAAAACTTCCTTGTAAGTGCTACATGGTGCCAACTGGAAGCAGAGCAGAGTGGTTAAAAGCTCTGAAACCAGGCTGCACAGGTCTGAATCTTGGATGACACATAAACGCTGAGTTATTTTGGGCAAGTCACTTATCTTCCAGTGACTATTTCCTTTTTTACAAAATGAATAGCAGTACATTATGGGATTCCAGAGAAGCTGAAAGAGTTAACAGATGTAAAACACTTAAGACAGACAGCATCTGGCACATAGTAAATACTCAATAAATATTAACTATTATCAACTTTATTATTATTAGCTAAACACAAGGTACTTTCAAAGGTTATCTTCTGAGAACTCAATTGGAAAAAATCAAGGAGTTAAAGAAAAACATTAAATTTATTTAGGGCTACAAAGGTACCATAAACACATCAAAAACAAATGTATTAAATAAAATGTCCTAATTTTTCTTAAAAAAACTTTAATAAAAAAGGGATAAGCCCTTTAAATACTAAGAGATTTTACAACAATGTGTGATTTTAAAGTTTTAGGAATCTCCCAAATACAATCAAGGTGCCCTGGATATAATCACAGGCCAACATGACTAGATTGTGATAGCAACAAAGAAAATAAATAGCATTTCTGTAGAAATAAATAGCATTATAAATGAAGAAAGAGTTTGTTCCTGGAAAGAAGATTGTCTTTCCTTGTGCAAGGAGTCCAAAGACACAAAATTTGGCAGTATTACCAACACTGTGTTCAAGAAAAAGTTGTTTCTGATCCCAAAAAGATCTTTTCCCATTGTGGAGAATGATTTCTTAGACAACTGTAGGTGGATGATATCGGCGGGGTCATTCAGCTCTTTCTCATTCTGATTCTACGTATCCAAAATATTATCACTTAATATTTGGTTTTCTATATACAGGCTGCAGAAATGGAATATGATGATCACCAAAAATTATTATCTAGCCTAATATTTATATTTCTCAATGTAAATTAATGATCTAAATGCTACTTTTGATGCCTTAACCAGAAGTAATCCCTGCTTTTCTAAAGCATTTTACTTTTACTTCAACTATAACACTTATTTCATTTATTTAATCTCCTTACTGTTAGTTGTTTACATGTTTATCTCTTCTACCAGACTCTAAGTACCTTGAAGTATATGAATAGTCCTGGTTCCTTTTTTGTTTTCCAGTTTCCTACTATGGAAATTTGATTCTTAAATGTTTGATGAATAAACGAATAATAGCACCATGTGGCTATTCTCTTCCTAGTAACACACAAAGATTGTACTTACTTTATTCTTTTCATTTTGAATAATTTCTAATAGTTGGTCTATGTGCCCTTCATCTATGCATCTTTGGCCTGCTAACTGAAATAGGCCAAAATCTTCTTCTTTAAAGTCTTCCTCGTCTAGGATTTGCTGGCAAAAACAAAATAAACAAAAATCAAACATGTTTAGGCAAATAAGAATTCAATAACTACTTGATTTATCTCTAAAAAAAGTAAATCTGTTTAAAGCTAGGTAAGTTGCACATATGCATATACATGAAAATTAGGATTAGCCTAATAAATTCTTTAATGGAAGTATCAACTGTTTCAAAGAAATCTGTAATAAGGATCAGTATTAAAAATTTTAAAGGTTATTTAGACAAGTATGTCACTTGGAGAAATAATCCAATCTGCCTTCCTGTCATACTCTTTATTCACAGGTTAAAAACAGCAAGGATTAAAGAAGATAAACAATTTGAGTAACCGCAAATGTAATTAAAAATAATCCGTGCCCTTCCCATATTTTGAAAGGTATTTAACTTTACAAATGGAAAAAATTACTTACACATCTCTTTATTACAGACTGAAGTTCCTCCACTGCCATTCTTCGTTATTTTTCCTAGTTTTGATACTGAAATGTACTGATATAAAACATACTGTTAACTATCAGAGATATTGTACACTGCAGTATTAATAAGTGATATTTCATTCTGATAAATTATTAGTAAATATAATAAAATGTAGTTTTAAAGCTGAAATGTTTTCACTGATAGTAGTATGTTAGCCTAAGGAAATAAAAACTCTATTTTAAATAAACTCCTGACACATCTGTCAAGTTTTCTTAAAAAGTATTGCTTATTGTGGTTTTGACAGATACATCCGAAAAAAGCCTCTAGAGCACTCCCAAGAAGATCGCAAATATGGACTACATAAAGTGCATTAAAAAAGCAAAGTATTTCATTTCCGAAAACATTTCCAAAAGGTGGGCCTGAAATCAATTCTAATCAATAGGGAATTCTTAATTTTTTAGTGTCCCCCTTGACAAAAATTGAAGTCAACACAACTCACCCAAAGGGAGTGAAAGTTCAGATGCCCTCCACCCCCAGTGTGACAGAAGCACCCTTAAGAGATGCGGTCCCCAAAATAATCAACCCAGTGAAATCAAACAGCGACTCTAGGAGAACCGCGTTCCATTCCCGCAGGCCACCATTCCTCCCGGCATGAAGGCCCGGCTCCAAGCCCGCAGTGGGGCGTGAGTCCGCCGGGTCCTCACGGCAGCGCGCTCAAGGGCGGATAAAACCCCAGGGCGCGTGCGGACGGCATCCAAGGGAAGCCATTTCTCCCGATTCCCGCCCGCCTGGGCGTTCGGACCCCACCACCTCGCCGGGCCGCATCCAGCAAGGCTCAAGGGTCGCCACGAGCCTGGGCCAGCCGGGACCTCCCTCTACGTCCACTTACCCACCCGGCCCCTGGCCTCTCAGAGTCCTCCTCCACCTCCGCGGGGCGCATAGGCCACTGTCCCGGCCCCGCCCCGTCCCGCTGATCCCGCCTCGCGCTACGCGAGCGGAGGCGGGGCCTCGAAGGGGACGCTTCGGCCGGTCCCAACCATCTGACGACGACGCTTCCCATGGCTGAGTCGGCCCGGCCTCCTGTGGCCTGCCACAAGGCCCGGGTTCCCCGCGCCCCTCGAAACCCCGCAGGTAGGCAGAAGGGCCTTTTCCCACGTTTGGACCCTGAGAACTGAGCCCCAACAGAGTTCCAGACTAAAGCGCACGGGGTGCCCCGGAAAAGCTGCCCCAGGGGGAGGGGTCTTCCGGCAGAGAAGGCCGAGCGCTTCTTCCCACCGCAGCCCTCCCGCCTTCTGGGAAACACCTGCGGCCGGACCCCCAACTCTTTACTCTAGCGTTCCAAGATTTTCCCCAGAATGGGCTTGTTCCATCTCTCAGAGCCTAGAGTTGGGGCCGCCAGGGTGGGCAAGTGACCAGGGCAGCGTCGGCCCGCCCTGTACAGCTGCCGGTGAACCTAGCAGTGGTCCTCCCACTTTTACTGCCCCGGTTCTTTGAGGTATCCGAGAACCTCTTCCCCTCTTGCCCGGGAGTGAACATTTGGGGGACAGAGGTTACCTCTAAAAGTACCCAGGTCTCAGATTTTTAGGAGTGCTTAACTATGCACCTGTGATAAAGGAGAAAATTCGGTCCCGAAAGAGATACATGTTAACCAGGAAAATTTGGGGAATAACTAATTAATTTACAAAAACAAATTGGATTCCCTTCCTATTTCATTTGATTTACACAGAATTGGAAATGAAATATGTGGAAAATAAGAAAAGATGGTATACAGTTTATATGGATAGGAATCTGTCCTATAACCTAGTGTGTTTGTGTAGAATTGAACAACTTTTTTCTTTTGGTGGTT